AGCCTCTCCACAGTAGTTATGCAGGCATCCAGTAGGTATTGGGATCTGGAATGATGTGGGCATACACTGCAGCCCAGACCAGCTGAGCTTTATGTTACTAAGGCAGCGATGACTGTGTACCTAACACGTGTACCTAACACTTTCTGGTTCCATGGCATTGTTGCAGGTGGTCAGGAAATAACCATGTGTTTTACCTTTTCTCTTTCAGACATAAGTCATGTTCAATGCTGAGTGTCCTGGCTGGATGATATTGGGTGAGTACCCAGGCGTTCCCATAGGAATTTTTGAGGGATACCCATGAGAGATGATGGTGTCTGCTGGGGAAGACGTTGACCTGATTTAATAGAGTTATCAAGGTTGGGTTGGTGTGTTTCATCTTATTGGAAGTCAAAAGCATTGTTGGCAGGTGTGGTCATAAGACAAGTTGTTATCCTAAATACTTTTGTCACGTGTTTCTTCAGGTTCTTGTGAGGAGAACTCGGTGAGCTAACAATGGTCGTTATGGGAACCTGACAGTAAACCTGGTAGGTGGTCAAGTGGGTCCTGCCGCTGTGCACATCATCTGATACTCAAGCTGAGGTTAAGTGAAGAGGATGCTCTCAACACTTGTGTTAACTAACATGTTTGTAGGAGGAGGTTGGCGGATATGTGTCGTACTGAGGTAATGGCTGCTCACAGTACCACCCATGCCACCTCCCGCCCCCTATAAAAGCACAGCACTGTCCGTGTGATGCCCACATGTCTAGGTAAGTAATGCCATGTGCTTACACTTGTTGTTGCCATGATTCCATTGCAGGGATTCAGGTAAGAAATGATGGTATCCTTGCCAATCCTCTTAAGTAGGAGTTTAAAATTATCTATTCTAGAGAAGGTTTACGTATCCTACTGTACATGTTCCAGGAATTCAGGCACAGTGGTACTTACCCCGGTTTCCAACCCACAGTATTGATCATAGGCATTTTCCAGGTGTCCAAGCCCAAAGTGACACATTAGTGAGAATATTGTTGACTCTGGATGACTACACCTATCCAGGTGGAGTTATATGTCTCATAGTGGACGAGGTTGATTACGGGTTTCCTGGTGGGGAAAGTTTGTCGTTTACAGACTTTTCATGACATTCAGGTTCCTGTGAGGAAAACACAATGACAGTAACATTGCCCAGGAAGAAGGACGTGGCTGTTATGCAGGTTGGTCGTGATGTGGGCTTCACCACAACATGAGCCCTCTGATCTGCACATCGCTAAGTGAGCGCTGATGTTTTTCCCAACAAAATTGAGGTGACCCTCTCTTCTTTGCAGGTATTCAGGTAGGAAATGATTGTCCTCTGCAACCTAGCAAGCTCCAGGTTCATGTGGTATTTTAGAGACATTTTTGTTCATCCCTGCGAGGGATGAGGGAATGCTCTATGCAGGTCCTGATCATAATAAGCCTACCCACAGCACTAACCATGGAAAGGTTGCGGATGTCCTGCTCCACAAAGTTCTGTGTTTTCACACCTATCTTGTGTGTTATTCAGGGACTTGTGAGGAAAAGATGACAAAATAAATGGTGGTTAATGGGGGACATTTCTCATATGCGGAAAAGTGGTAATGTATCCTCACCCTCATTGTTACCATGACTCGTTTACCAAGAGTCGGGTAAGAAATTCTAGGGACACTGCAGGTATTTGCAATCATATTGAATCTCCACTTTGGTATGTTAGACAAAACTTAAGTTGAACTACAGGATTGCTTAGCGATTGCAAGATACTAGTGTAAGTACCACAGATCTCCCAAGCCACATTAATCACTGGACTTTTCTTTCTCTGAGGGGACCAGCCAGCAGATGAACATGTCTTTGGCAATGGCATAGATCTGAGAGGACTGCGAGATGCCAGGTAGAGTTGGGGTGTGCAGTGGTGGCCCAAACATGGCCATTTGCAGTGTCTATTCTGAATCTGAACACTATGGCATCCTGTGTTTTCCAGGTTGCGGTCTAGATACTGGAGAACTTCATGATGACTATTGCCCAGACGGTGCCTGATTTCCGAGTAAGTGAAAATATGTGCCTTATGCATCCTATAGACCATCTGATCTTAAGATGTCTGCATAAGTGTGAATGGTTTCGTTAAGACCATGTTATTGTTTTGTAGCTGACCCATGAAGTCCTTCCTAGTACTCAGGTATGAGATTCTATGACAGTCACTCAGAGCGCATGATGGATGTGAATAATGATGTTTTTGGGACTCCATAGTGAGTGTTTTTTGCGCCTGTAGGCAGTTCAGTCTCCATTTTACCCAAGCAATTCTAGTGAGCATGGGCTATGTTTGTCTACCTAAACAGAGATTGCCTTTATGCCCCCACACTGATAGATTGATAGGTAGACTTCCTGGTCATTTCTCCCATGATCCGTCTCCACATTAATGACTGTGGAATGTTTGCAGGTATCTCTTGGTTAGAAGAAGGTGTCATCGACATCTACAAGATCCAAATAATGGTCATGAGTCTCCACCCAAAAGCCTTTGACCAAGGAAATGTACAGTTGTCTAGGTAGCCTAAGACCTGTATGCCACCCATACTCCATAGTGTGTCTTTCAGGTCACGGAGAGTCTATCCCCGGGAAGCCTAACCATAGTCGTTATGCAGGCACCCAATAGGTATTGGGGTCAGGGATGAAGTGGGCCTACACCGCAGCACAGACCAGCCGATCTTTTTGTTCCTAAGGAAAAGATTACTGTGTTTCTAACACTTCCTGGTTTATTGCTTTGTTGCAGGCGGTCAGGTAATTATCATGGAATTATACCTTTTCTCTTTCAGACATAAGTCATGTTCAATGTTGAGTGTCCTGGCTGGATGATATCGGGTGAGTACCCTGGCGTTGCCATGGGATTTTTTGAGGGATAGCCATGAGAGATGATGGTGTCTGCTGAGGAAGAGTTTGACCTGATTTAATAGAGTTATCAAGGTTGAGTTGGTATTTTTCATCACAGTGGAAGTGAAAAGCATTGTTGGCAGGTGTGGTCGTAAAACAAGCTGTGGTCCTAAATACATTTGTCACATGTGTTTCTTCAGATTCTTGTGAGGAGAACTCAGTGAGCTAACAATGGTCGTTATGGGAATCAGCCTCTATACCAGGTAGGTGGTCAGGTGGGTCTTGCCGCTGTGCAAATCATCTGACACTCAAGTTGAGGTTAAGTGAAGAGGATGCTCTTAACACTTGTGTGAACTAGTTTGTAGGCGGTTGGCGACATAGCTGCTACTGAGGTAATGGCTGCCCACAGTAGCAGCCATGTCGCCCTCCTCCCCCTTCAAAAGCGCAGCACAGACCATGTCATGCCCACATGTCTAGGTAAGTAATGCCATTTGCTTACACTGGTTGTCGCCATGATTCCATTGCAGAGATTAAGGTAAGAAATGATGAATTCATTGCCAATCCTCTTAATTAGGAGTTTAATATTTAGTATGTTAGAGAAGGTTTACATTTCCGACTGTGAATGTTCCAGGATTGCAGGCACACTTTTACTTATCCTGGTTGCCAACCCACAGTACTGATCATAGGCTTTTCACCAGTATCCAACTCAGAGTGACGTGTTTGTGACAGTGATGTCAACTCTGGGTAACTACAGGTATCCAGGTAGAGTTGAATTTTCTTTTAGTGGACGAGGTTGCTTACCTGTGTCCTGGTGGGGAAAGGTTTGCCCCGAAATGAAGGCTGTGGCAGTTATGCAGGTAAGTGGTGATGTGGGCTTCAACCACAGCATGAGCCCTCTGATCTGTAGATCGCTAGGTGAGCGCTGATGTTTTCCCTAAAATATCGAGATGACCCACTCTTCTTTGCAGGTATTCAGTAGGAAATGATGGACCTCAGCAGTCTAGCACACTGCAGGTTGTTCATGTGATATTTTAGAGATCATGTCTCTTTGTCTCTGTGAGGGATGAGGGATTGCTGTATATAGGTCCTTAACATAATAGGCTGAACGACAGCACTAGCCATGGAAAGGTTGCAGGTGTCCCGTGGTGAAATGTCATATCTGACCATGGTTCGGACCTTGGAGTTCCGCAAAGTATTCAGGCAGGGTTGATGGTGTCTTACAGAAGGAAGCTTCCCACCTTATCAGGGGTGTCCCGCTACACAAAGTTCTGTGTTTTCACATGTATCTTGAGTGTATTTCAGGGTCTTCTGACGAAGAGATGACTGTGAAGTTCATGGTGGTTAAACGGACATATATCATATTCAGAAAGGTGGTGATGTGTCCTCACACTCATTGTTACCATGACTTTTTTACTGGGAGTCAGTAAGAAATTCCAGGGACGCCTTAGGTACTAGCAACCATATTGAATCTCCAGTTTGGTATGTTAGACAAATCTTAAGTTGAGCTACAGGATTGCTCAGCGATTGTCATATATCAGGGTAAGTACCACATATCTTCCAAGTTACATTAATAACTGGATTTTTCTTGCTTTGATTGGACAAGCCAGCAGATGAAGGTGTCTTTGAGAATGGTATAGATCTGAGAGGACTGCGAGTTGCCAGGTATATTTGGGGTGTGCAGTGATGGCCAGAACACAGCTATTTAAAGGTTTTTTTTTAAATTAAATCTTTATTCAGATTATTACAGTTCCTGTTTTTCCTCAATAGCTCCCCTCCATCCGTTTCGCACCCCACCCTCTGTCCTTACCCCCCCCAATTTTCTCATCCATAGGTGTACGATTTTTTTCCAGTCTCTTCCCGCACCCCCCACACCCCTTTCCTCCCTGAGAATAGTCAGTGCACTCCCTTTCTATGCCCCTTATTCTATTATATTCACATTTCTTCTGTTTATCAGATTATTTATTCACTTGATTTTTATTTTTTTATTTTTTATTAAGGTATTACAAATGTGTCTTTATCCCCCCATTGTCCCCTCATCCCCCCCCATCACATGGTATTTTTAAAATGGGAAGATAATTGGGATGGGATCAAAACTCTGAGGGAATTTGGAAATAATAAGAAAGCCCTCATTTTGCAACAAAACCCGAAATGATGGGTGAAATGACATGTTCTCTTTTTCCAAGGAAATGAGGCGGCGCCGAATAGAAGTTAATGTGGAGCTGAGGAAAGCTAAGAAGGATGACCAGATGCTGAAAAGGAGAAATGTGAGCTCCTTTCCCGATGATGCTACATCTCCAGTGCAGGAAAACCACAACAACCAGGGCACTGTAAATTGGTCTGTTGAGGACATTGTCAAAGGCATAAATAGCAACAATTTGGGAAGCCAGCTCCAAGCTACTCAGGCTGCAAGAGAACTGCTTTCTAGGGAAAAACAGCCTCCCATAGACAACATAATCCAGGCCGGTTTGATCCCAAAATTTGTGCACTTCTTGGGCAGAACTGATTGTAGTACCATCCAGTATGAATCTGCTTGGGCCCTCACTAACATTGCTTCCGGCACTTCGGAACAGACCAAGGCTGTAGTAGATGGAGGTGCGATTCCAGCATTCATTTCTCTGTTGGCATCTCCCCACGCTCACATCCGTGAACAAGCCGTATGGGCTCTAGGAAATATTGCAGGTGATGGTTCAGTTTTCCGAGACTTGGTTATCAAGTATGGTGCTGTTGGCCCACTGTTGGCTCTTCTTGCAGTTCCTGATATGTCATCTTTAGCATGTGGTTACTTACGTAATCTGACCTGGACACTTTCAAACCTTTGTCGCAACAAGAATCCTGTACCCCCATTAGATGCTGTTGAGCAGATTCTTCCTACTTTAGTTCGTCTCCTGCATCATGATGATCCAGAAGTATTAGCAGA